TGATTGAATGAGGGATATGAGAGATGCCTCAAAGGAGACGGCAATCTACCAAGCTAGACGTCATTCCTATCAGATGCCTTGTAACCTCTTCGTAGACAGTTCATTGGTCAACCCGAACGCCGTTTGAACTAAAACGATAAACCTACAGTTTATATGCAATCCATGTAACTCGTCTCGCTCTCTCACCCAACCCTCTTCCAAAGCGCGCATGAGCCGGGAACTGATTCAAGGTTTGGCTCGACGTGGCGCGCAGCTCATACTGGCCTCAGACAACATAGATGCCTGTGGTAGTGCTCGAGACAAATTGCTCAAAGCCACTCGGGTCACTCCCAGCCGTGTGGAGTGTCGTCTGTTGAACACGAGTAGCACACGTTCCGTGCGTCGGTTCGCCGCCAACCTGTTGTCTGACTATCCGCGTCTGGATCGGGTCATTGTGCAATCGCCCAGTTGTATCACCAGTGTGGTAGCCGGCAAACGACGTCCCACTCACGACGGGTTTGAGCAAAATTTAGGTACAAATTATTTCTCCACCTATCTGCTCTCTCGTCTGTTGTGGCCTCGTCTGTCCAAATCTGATGACGGGCGACTCATTCTTGTGGTCGATATGGATGCTGCTGCTGAGGCCCAAACACAAGCGCCTCGGTTGCCGGATTCGACACAGTTGGGCCTGCCGGTGCACGATTTGAATTTTGATGACCCAAACAATTTTGATCCGAAATTGGCGTATCAACGATCCCAATGGTTCCTCACTCTATTCGCCGAGTAAGTGTTCCGTCCAGATTGATAAGAAACAATCTATACAGCTCGACTCGGGCTATCAGTGGTGTGCTCTAGCCCGGAATTTGTTCCACACTTCAGGGTTTTTTACCTTTCCTTCTAAGTTCAGCTTCTGACAGGCGTCGCTGGATACAAGCGGTTAGCGCCTCTGTATCCTTACAGTACTGAAGGTCGACGAACGTGGTCATATCAGTTGATTTTAGTCATATGTCGGAAGCAACAGCGGCCGAAACTCCTTTTTTTCTGTCATCCACTTTGGGGAGCTGAGTTTCGCAAGCGTATCTAAGGCTAGGCCGAGCGGGTTCCCGATAAATGGACAGTTTTGTTTAGAGGCTTATTTCTTCGCCCATGCACACAGGAGTTCGCAAAATTTTGGGAATACCTCCTTTCAGAATCGATACGAAGCTTGACTTCGTCTGTAACTTAGCTGTTTGGTTAAATGGTAGAAGCTAGGTAGTTGAGTTGGCCAAGCTGTTTTAATGTTTCACTGTTGACGTTGACTGGCCGTGGTAGTTGTGGAAGAACTTCGTTTCTGAGGTGTTTATCTTAAGACCTGTGACCTTAGCTTCACATTAGATACGGTCAAATATTGATTTTAGGCTGTCAGGATCGTCTCCTAAGAGGAATATATGAATTTGCGGTCAACTATCATGGTTTCGAGGTTCAATCAGGATTCCTGTGAGATCGGTAAGAGCACAATCCCTGACCAGTCTATGGCGTGGGGTCAGCGCACAGGTCAGGTGAACGTCCGAAATAAGCAAAAATTTTGTCGACTCTTCCCCGTAGACGCGGACGAGCGCGCTCACGTTGCACAGTTACGTCAGCTTGTTAGTCTTATTGACTTAAAATTTCGTGTCAAACTTTTGTGACTTTGCCTTTCTGGGGTATGATGCTTCGTTTTTTGTTCTGAGCTGAGATCACACGATGATAGACGGAAAACCACCCTACACCCTAGTGACCGTTCCAGGATGTTAGTGTAATTATGTTTTGAGCAAGTGTTTCGCATAAAGTGCTCTGCTGCCAGAATTGGTTGGTCCCGTTCCCAGTTACTCTCTCCTCTGCAGTAGATAATTCCTGTTTGGACTCGAACCGCGAGCATTCGGGTCGAGATTTCAGCCCTTACCCCCGAGATACATAGTCAACAGTCACCACCTTGTACGAATGGTTCATGCAGTTAAGAG